GAGTTTAGAAGGCGTCTCCCTTTGTCATCATATCCATGGCACCTGGAACGAGTGAGGGTTCCCCTCCCGGCTGTCTGTCTCTCTCCTCCCTCTCTATGTCTCCCTGTCTTTTATCCCCTGGTGCAGGTCCCTCCATCTGTGTCCCTCCCTCTTCCCTGTCCGTCTGTCTCTAGTATCCTCGGACGCCCTTCCCACTGGGCTCAGCCTCATCCCTTAGGCTGTTGTATCTGTTTCCAACTAATCTGTTTCCTACTGTCTATGTGGGGGTGGAAGAGGAACCACGGCAGGCTGCATGTCCAGTCTCTTAGCAGCCTGGTTCAATCTCTTTTGGACAAACTGGAGTCCCTGGCAGGAGGTATGAACTGATCAGCAAGGCAGGCACCAGTGTCCACAGTCCCTGTTCCTGGTGGGGATTGGGAGCCTCTCCTGCCATGCCTGTGCCTTCTCCATGGCCTCAGCTTCCACAGGGTGGCTCCTGGTGCTGGTTCCAGGAGCATCAACCCCTCCCTATATGGATGGAGCCCGGTGGTGACATCAGCATCCCGCCCTTCCTGATCTCGGGGTTGCCAACCTTCTCCTTGTTTGGTTTCTTTAATTAATTGATTAATTAATTGATTTTTGACACAGAGTGTCACTTTTTCACCCAGGCTGGAGTGTAGTGATGTGGTCTTGGCTCACTGCAACTTCTGCCTCCCGGATTCAAGCGATTGGATCCAGTCGTTGGTTTACTCGTGCCCACCACCATGCCCGGCTATCGTTGTTTGGTTTCCTAACTTATCCTTGACCATGTTCCTGTGTTGGTTTTTTGTTGCTGCAGCAGAAAATTATCCCAAACATGGTGGCAGGAGAGAATACACTGACCCCTTCCACTTTTAGAGTCAGAAATTGGATCCAGTTCTCCCTGTGCTAAAATCAAGGCGTCTACAGAACTGTGTTCCCTCTGGAGACTCAGCAGAGCGGTTCTCTTGACTTCTCCAGCCCGTAGAGGCCACCTGCCATTGTGGCTCGTGGCCTTCCTCCTCCTTCAAAGCCCACAGTGGCTGGTGGAGTCTCCCACGACGCTGCTCTAATACCCACTCTCCTCCTCCTCCTCCTCCTCCTCTCATTTGGTGCCTTGTGATTACACTGAGCCCAGTGGGACAGTCCAGGCCATCTCCCCATCTCAAGATCAACTCATCAACAAACTGAGCTCCGTCTTCCCCTTCAGTCCCCTGCCCTATAGCATAAAGAGTCCCAGGCTCCAGGGATTAGAATGTAACCATATTGGGGACAGTTATTCTTCCCATCACAGCACCCATTTCCCTGTATTCAATCCCCCTTTACCCCAAAGACAGTCAGGTCCTGGGTGATGGGACCCTGGTGGACACCCCCAGCAGAAGCTCTGGGATTCAGGAGGTGGGACAAGGAGAAGCCCAGACAGGAGCCCTCTGACCTGTGACCCTGATCGCCAGGGGGTCACTGAGTGCCGACCACTCAGTGGGGGAGTGCGGGTATGAACCCCGACATCTGTAGGTCCCTGCGTGTGCCGGGGTCACAGGGCCCATGAGGAAGCTCTCCTGGAATATTCTGCTGTGGAAGACGGGAACGTGGCTTCTGTCGTCTTTGTACAGAGTGAAGTTGGTAAAGTTGGTAAGTCCATCACGATAGTAACACCGAAGGGTCACGTGTCCTCCCTGAGGCACCAGAGCGCTGGGCCAGGCAGACAGGGAGGTCTTGTCCTGATCACCTGGGGGAGAAGGAGGCGCCGCCTTAGAGAGGAGGATGTGGAGTCGCCCCTCCCTCCCTGTGCTCAGAAGATTCTTCCCCTTTCCATGTTTCTAAGGCTCCTACTACACCTGGGTGTTCAGGGCTACAGGAAGGACCCATCCCACATAGACATGGCGTCTCCGTACAACAAAGGTGTCAGCTGAGAACTTTGAACAAGTGCTGAATAAGGGACTCTTACTAGATTTTAACACTTCAAGATGACTCACATAAAACAACACAAAGTAGACACGTCATGGAGGGCATGTCCTTTGTGAATGGAACATCAGCCAGTGCATGAACTGAGCCCCCATCAGAAGATTTGGAATGTCAGGGTCATGGCTGTGGTTTCCCCACCTCTTCTGGTAGAATGACAGCAGCCACACTGCAGCCCTGACCGTCATGGAAACACTGGAGGGTGTGAGTTACACCTTTGTCTTCAGAGGACCTGCTGTTCCTAGCACTGCTTCCCTCCCTTCCTCAGCCGCTGACACCACTTCCTCCCTGCACACCTCAGCTTGGAGCACCCCAAGCTCACCCCGGTGTTCAGAGCTTGACTCAGCCAAGGGTAAGAAGGCCAGAGAGGACGAGGTCAGAAGTGTGAGCCGAGCACCCCAGGGTCCCCCCTTCTTAGTTTATGAGAGACTGTCTGACAGGACTTCCCTCCTGTTTCAGGAAAATCCTCTTAGGTGGGGAGATGACACCCTAAGGTTTGGGGAAGGACTCACCCATGTATGGACAGGCCCTCTGGACCAAGAAGAACCCTGGAAAGAAAGATCATGGTGGATGATCCATCTGCAGGCAAACCAGGGCCTCCCCTGCTGCCCCCACGGGGCTGTGCGTCTGGGCAGCCAGGCCCTTGCTGGGCTGAAGGTAAACTCAGCCTGGCTGCCTACCTGCCACTGCAGCAGGGATGTCAGCTGTGCAGAGACCTAGCGTCCTGATCCAGATCTGCACCCCAGGCCTAGATCTACACAACAGGCCCATATGTCCAATACACGCTGATATCTCCACTCCAGGCCCGTATCTCCGCTCCAAACCCATATCTCCCTTCCAGGCTCTATCTCCACCCCAGGCCCATATCTCCACTCCAGGCTCGTATCACAATTTGAGGCCCATGTCTCCATTCCAGGCCCAAATCTCCACTCCAGGCCCATATCTCCACTCTAGTCTCATATCTCTACTCCAGGACCGTGTCTCCACTCCAGGCTCCTATCTCCACTCCAGGCCAGGAATCGTGTCCAGGCCCATATTTCAGCTCCAAACCCATATCTCCCCTCCAGGCTCATATCTCCCCTCCAGGCCCAGATCTCCAGTCCAGACCCATATCTCTACTCCAGGAACTTATCTCCACTCCAGGCCCAGATGTCCAGCCCAGGCCCATCTCCACTCCAGGGTCATATCTCCACTGCAGACCCGTATCTCCACTCCACGCTCATGTCTCTACTCCAGGATCCTATCTCTATTCCAGGTTCATATCTCTACTCCAGGCCCAAATCTCCACTCCAGGCCCATATCTCCACTCTAGACCCGTATCTCCACTGCAGGCCCGTATCTCCACTCCACGCTCATGTCTCTACTCCAGGATCCTATCTCTATTCCAGGTTCATATCTCTACTCCAGGCCCAAATCTCCACTCCAGGCCAATATCTCTATCCCAGGCCCATATCTCCACCCAGGCCCAGATATCCACTCCAGGATCATATCTCCACTCCAGGCCCATAACTCAACCTCCAGGTCCAGATCTCCCCTCCAGGCCCAGATCTCCACCCCAGCGCTTCCTCCGCCGATTCCCTTCCGGGACTCACCAACACACGCCACGCTGACGACCATGAGCGACATGGTGCTGCCGGTGCAGACAGGCGGCCGCGCCCCAGCTCAGCTCAGCAGCGCAGAGGATGTTATCTGGCGCCCTGCCCATGCAGTTGACGTGCTGACCACATCATGGGAGGGTGACGTACGCAGGCTCTTCCTACCTTTCATGAGGCGCAGCGGGTGCTCCCTCAAGAGTGGAAAATGGCTTCCTGGAAATTGTTTTCACTAGAACTGACACCTTGTGTCCCTCACTATGACCAGCTCAAAACACGTCTCAGATCTAACCTCCCGGACATGAGGTGACTAAAATCTGTGCTGACGAGAAAGACTTTTCACGTATTTTTGTTGTTTTTATCTGTGTTTCAAACTCTTCTCCGTGTATAATATGCGAAATGTCTAATAGGTATTATGAACGTTGTCAGAGCAATGGTGACGAATAAACCATTAGGATGTTTCATGCTTGTATTTCTAGTATGACAGCAGGAAGGATTATGCAATTATTTACAATCTTAGAACTGTTCTTCATCAGCAAAACCCACAACATGTCAATTCTGGATTTTTGTCATTTTATCTACAATTTGTCTCATGACCTGAGATTCCAGAGTCCCAGCACATGGTTCGCTCTCTGTCTGTCTCTCTGCCTCCCTCATTTTAAATTGTATGGAAATATCCAGTAACATAATGCTATAAAAAATCAAGTGTCCCCCAGCACTTTGGGAAGCCGAGGTGGGTGGATCAACGGAGGTCGGGAGTTCGAGACCACCCTGGCCAACTTAGAGAAACCATGTCTCTGCTAAACATACAAAAATTAGCCATGCCTGGTGGTGGGCACCTGTAATGCCAGCTACTCAAGAGGCTGAGGCAGGAGAATCGCTTGAACCTGGGAGGCGGAAGTCGCAGTGAGCCGAGATTCTGCCACTGCAGTCCAGCCTGGGTGACAGAGTGAGACTCTGCCTGAAGAAATATAAAAAAAGCATAGCAAATAGCCTATAATAAGAAACTAGAGGACTCCAGCTACCAAATTTTAAGGGTTTGTATAAGCCTACGGAATGTGCAGCATCCTCAAGAGAGTGAACACAGAGAGCCCCTTATCGGAAAACAGTGTCTAAAATACATCCGTGCACACACAGTCCCGTTAGAGTTGACAGAGGCTGCCGTGTGGTTTAAGGAGGAATAGAATGTCTTCTCCATAGATAACATGGGCCCAAGGGTTACGCATAGAAAAAAATAAATCTACACGTATTCTCACACTATAAAACACTTCTTGTTTTTTATCTTGTTGTTGTAAATTTTTTATGATTTATATTTAAAATTGAGAAATAAAAGTGAGATACAATCGTCCTTCACTATTCGTGGGTGATTGGTTTCAGGATCTCTGCTCAGATACCACAATCTGCAGGTGCTCAAGCCTCTTACATAAAATGGTACAGCGTTTGCATATAACCCATGTTCATCCTCCTGTATACATGAAATCATCTCTAGATTACTTATAATTCCTGACACAGCCTACACACCATTCCGTTTGTGTCCATTCAGCATAGTTTTGCTTTTTGGAACTTTGTGGATTTTTTCTCTGAATATTTTTGATTTATAGTTGGCTCAACAAACACCTGTAAACCCCACAGGTCTGGAGGAGTGACTGTGTATTTATGGTATGAAAGATGATGTGTGGACATGTGTCCCCGTGGAGATGAGACTAACAAGGCCTATGACTCTACAGATGTTTCATCTTGGAATGGCTCTGCCAGCTTTCCAGGTCTGCAGAGAGTAAGAATATCACTTGTTCATCTCATTCACGATCCTTGCAACCTTCTATGCGCTGCATCGTTGGATGGAAATTGGACTCCCAGACAGAAATCAGGCTCCATTCTGCTTCCAGAAGGTCAGAGTCCAGGGGTGAGAACCCAGTGGAGAACATATGGGGCTATACGGACATAGTAATGATAACACCAGAAACTTTCGACGAATAAGGAGTCACAATACCTAAAGGATGAGGGCAGTGGTGTTTATTTGAAGAGGAGAGAGCTACGTTGAAATGAAAAAAAAATTTATAAGTTTCACTGCTGACAGAAGGCTGAAAGATAGTCTGGTGGCAGGTGGAACAGCATGAGGGAAGGTGGCACAGCATGCGTCTAAGTGCTGTGTTAAGAGGGAGCCTCTTGTATGTTTGGAACTGTGAGTTCCTCAGTGTGATCGCAGCCTCCAGTAGGACTAGGAAGTAAGCCAGTAGGTTGGAGAGGTGGGCAGGGGTCAAGTGAAATGGAGAATTGTGGGCTAAGCAAAGGAGTGTGTTTTCCCTGCAGCAGGCAGTGGGGACCTTAGACATTTGTAAGCAAGAGAGAGGCACGTTCGGATTCGTGGCGTGAGGAAGAGCGATGCCCTAAGATGCAGACTCACAGCTTCAGATTCCTGCGGCTGGTACATTGGAGCTGTGAAGCCGGTTTTGAGACAGGGCTGTTGCCTCCCTAGAAGACCCCTTCAAGGCCTGACGGTGGTGCTCATGGGCAGGAGACAACTTTCGATCTGGATTCTGCATTTGGAAGCTCCATGTACACGCTGGTATCTGTTGGGGGTCTCTTGGGCCTCTGAGAAGGGCGAGTGATTTTTCCCTGTGTGAGAACGCAGTGATCCAACTGTGCGTATGTCACCTCCTGAGGGTCTTGTTCATCAGAGTCCTGGAGAGAGGGAAATGTTGAGTGAGGGAGGGGCTCACATTCTTCAGGACTATTAGGGAATAAGATTCGATCCACGAGGCTGGGCTGAGGAGGACCTACCTCCCTGTTCACTGTTCTGTCCACCGCAGGCTCTTGGTCCATTACAGCAGCATCTGCAGGAGACAAAAGTCATGAAAACAGCTGGGAGGGCACGTCTGGGTCCTCATTTCATGTGCAGAGCCCAACACACAGGGGGAGACTGTAGGTGCCTGAGGTCCCTCAGCTGCCAACAGCCAGACTCAGACATTCTATCTCTCTGAGTTCAAGACTCTTTCCCATGAACGGCTCTCAATTTCCATCCCATTGATTCTGTCTCCCACTTTCTGCCTGTCATGGAACCTTCTCCTGGATGTCAGTGGCTGCAGGGACATGAGGATACAGTTGAGAATCAGGCAATGGTCTGTGAGTTGAAGGCAGGGACAGGGTGTCTGGTGCTCTCTCTAGAAAGCTCTGCCTCTGTGGCTCCTGCCTTGGGCCAGAGACCATCCTGCCAGTGAGGAACACACACCTGTGTGCTCCAATCCCGCTTCCCCACTCAGCCCTGAGGTCTGTGGCCTCTGCTTTGTGAGACTTACTCTTTTTGTTGGAGCACCAGCGATGCAGGAGAAAGAAGAAGATGGTGAAGAGGATCATGACCACTGAGGTCCCAATCAGAACATGCAGGTGTCTGGGGATACCTGGAGGAAGAAGATACTCCAATAAGAAGCTAATCATAGCAGTTCCTTCTTATGGATTGTCTCTCGTTTCTTGATTGACAGGTAACCATGTGGAATGTCTCCTTAGGACAAGCGGCCTGATGTCGGGAGACCCAGCTTTCTCCTGCTCTGTTTTGAGGAAGGAGGAAGGGGACCAGGAGCCAGGGAACGTGGGAGCCTCTAGAAACTGGGACATGTGAAGAGCAGATTCTCGTCTGGAACCTTCGGAGGGAAGGCAGCCTTGCTGTCACCTTGATTTTAGCCCAGTGAGGTGCATTTCATCCTTTGAGCTACAGCACTGTAAGATAATTAAAAAGCCGTTTTGTTTTCATCCACCAATTTTGTGGAAATTTGTTATGGCAACAATAGAAAAGGATTCTAACTGCACAGCCTGAGCTTGGGGCCGTGGCTGAATGAGTCAGTGAGTCGGAGTGTGCGTGCAGGCTCTTTACTGCAAGGTTCTTGCTCTGCTGAGTCACCCAGGGTTGCCTCATGACCCACAGGAGTTCATTCCTTGGCAAGCGGAACTTCTCTAAAACACCTCACCCTCAGTAGATGTTCCCTTCCCTTCCCTCTTTCAAGCCCCCAGGAATTTATCCTGCAGTTAGGAATGCAGGGAGAACACTGCATTTTTCCTGAGAAGGATGTCAGATTTGCAATCATTCTTTCAGCTTGTAGGAGGTCTCAGCTGCAGAAAATTAGAGATGAAGAGACTTCACTGAGCCCTGTGCTGGGCCCAGATCCCTTTTGCTGTTGGAGTGTCTGGAGTTCAGAGAGATGGTGGAAGACAGGCCCACAGTCAGAGCTGGGAGGTGCTGAGCCAAGGCTTGACTCCAAGGCTTCCACCTCCCCAGGTTTCCAAAAGCAGAGATAAGAGGGATTCTTTACTCACTGGTTTTGGAGTTTGGTTCAGTGGGTGAAGGCCAACTACGTGAAGGGTTTCCTAGAATAGAAACGGGAGAGAGGTGAGGAAATGAGGGTGCCTGTCCTCTATTCAAGGGAAATCTTTGAGGTTGGTTCATGGCAAACACTCTGTTATCCAACACTGGGCTCTGGGAGTCCTGGGATCCTCTTCTGCATAATTTTTGTATGTGTTGCCCATTGTCTTGAGAGTTTAAGGTACAGAGAGAAAACAGGAACATCACATTACCTGACTTAAAAATATGTTACAGAGCTGTAGTAAACAAAACAGCATGATGTTGGCATAAGGAAAGGTGCATAGAACAATGGAATGAAATGAAGAACACAGATATATCCATGCGTCTACATTCAATGGCATTCCTTTTTTTGAGATGGAATCTTGCTCTGTTACTCAGGTTGGATTGCAGAGGTGCAATCTCGGTTCACAGCAACCTCTGTCTACTGGCTTCAAGCAATTCTTTTGCCTCAGACTCTCGAGTAGTGGTATGACAGGCACTGACCACAATGCTAAGCTAATTTTTGTACTTTTAGTGGAGACAGGGTTTTACTATGTTGGTCAGGCGGGCCTCAAACTCCTGGTCTCAGGTGATCTACCCACCTTGGCCTCTGAAAGTGCTGGGACTGCAGGTGTGAGCCACCATGCCCACCCTGTCAATCCAATGCACTTTGACAAAGGTGCCAGGAGGCTACAATCAGGAAAGGACAGTCTTTTCAATAAACAATGTGGGGAAAACTGGTTATCTACATGCAAAGGAATGAAACTGCACCTCTACGTCTCATCATCCACAAAAACCAAATCAAAATGGAATAAATACACGAGTCTAAGGCCTGAACCTATGAAACACATAGAAGAACATATTGGGGAAGTGCTTCGGGACATTTATCTGAGAAGAGACATTTTGTTTGAAACCTCAAAAACACAAGTAATCAAAGCAATAAACAGACCATTGGGATTACATCAAACTAAGCAGCTTCTGTACTGCAAAACAAGCAACCAACAAAGTGAAGAGACAACCCACAGAATGGGAGCCAATATTTGCAGACTATGCATCTGAGACGGGATTTATAACTAGAAATATAAGAAGCTCACATAACTCAATAAAACAAACAATTTAACTAAAAAATGAGCAAAAGACTTGAACAGACATTTCTCCACAAACAAAACATATAAATGACCATCATGTGTGTGAAAAAGTGTTCAGTATCACTCATCATCAGAGAAATGCAAATTAAAATCACAATGAATTTTCATCTCACCCCATTAAAATGGCTTTTATCTGCAATACAGGCAAAACAAGATGGTAGAGAAGGGAGAACCCTTGTACCTCGTTGGTAGGAATGTAAATGAGTACAGCCATTATGGAGAAAAGTATGGAAGTTCTTAAGAAACTAAAAAGAGGCTGGGCATGGTGGCTCATGCCTGTAATCCCAGCATTATGGCTCTAGGGTCATAAGACATGGGACAGACATGGGCTTTCCTCACCTGTAACCGAAACGGACAATGGGTCACTCGGGTCTGACCACTCATAGGGAGAGTCACGGTAAGAGCCGAAGCATCTGTAGGTCCCTCCGTGGGTGGCAGGGCCCAGAAGGAAGTTGGCCTGGAAAGTTCCATTGACACGAGACACTGCAGGGAGCCTAAGTTCATTGGCCTCTCCCTCCCTGGATAGATGGTACATGTCAAACGAGGTCTGGGAGCTGCAGGACAAGGTCACGTTCTCTCCTGCCTGAACTGTGGGGCCCGGCTGGGCTGAGAGAGAAGGTTTCTCATATAGACCTGGAAGGAGAAGAGGCAGTTTCCTCAGGGAGGTTCTTCCTTGTCACAGCTCCCCTCACACCTGAGCTGAGAACTCACTCCCCTGCTCTATGGCCTAATGCTCTCTGTCACCCTCTAGCCCCTTCTCTCTTCATGTCTATTTTCTCCTTCTGCCTTGTCAGTCTCTCTAGGTCTCTGACCTCACTTCCCCACCCCGAGGAATGTTTCCCCTCTTGGCATGGTTTTATTCTTTCTGACCCTCCTTGGATTGTTGACTTGATCTTCCTTTTTCTTTAATTCTGAGTTTCTCACTTTCTCTCCTGTTCACAACTTTCTGCATATTTCTATTATCTATCGATCTATTTATCTATTTGGTGTCTATCTACAAATTATCTATCTATCATCTATATTTATGTATCATCTATCTCTGTATCTATCAATTGTCTATCTAGCTATCTATCCATCAATCACCTATGTGTTATCTATATCTATGTATCATCTATCTCTCTCTCTGTCTGCCTCTATATCTCTATGTATTATCTGTCTATCTTCATCATCATTATCTCTATGTATCATCTGTCTATCAATCAATCCATCAATCATCATCTATGTACCCACAACCTATCTATTATCTACCATCTACCTATTATCATCTAACTATATCTATCTGTCCATCTCTCAGCTATCTCTCTCCATCTCCCTGTCTTTCTCTGCCTCTCATTCTCTCTAGTTCTCTTTGAAATCTCTGCAATCGATCCCCACATCTCCATCTTTGTCTCTCCTTGTGCCCCTCCCTCAGGGCCCTAATTTTAGGGATTTCTCTGCTCCCTTCCATCATTCTCTCCACTCCTCTGCCCTCTTTCCTCTCTCTTTATGTGTCTGTGAGTCTCTCAATCTCCTTCCTCTGGATCATTCTGTGTGTTTAGGTCTTGCTTTTTGGTGTCCCTGATTTCTCTCTGTGTCTCTCAGGCATCCTATCATATGTAGTTATTTGGAATATGAGCCTCAGAATCCAGTCTGGGGACCCCAAGTACACACAGCACACAGGGGTTGGCGTTCTGGGGCCATGATATCCTGGGACGATGACTTTTCACTGCACGAAAGGTAGAGGTGTCAGAATCAACATGGCGTCTGTAGGCGACACAAGGCCTAAGGCCACAGGGGCTGATTCAGGATAGAAATATGGGTGTCCTTGGGTTCTCCTGGTAGAGAACACTTTGTGGAGGGAAACAGAAATGAAATTTCTAACCTGTGCCAGGTATCTGAGCAAAGTCAGCATGGAAGGACACCTCTCTCTGGGACATGTCTGTCTGAGTGTCCCCTTTAACTCTTTCTCTCTTTTCTACCTCCCTGTATGGCCCCTGTGTCTGTCCTCTGTTATGACACCTGGTCTGTACTTGTGTCTCCTGTTTCTCTGTCTCTGTTGGTACAGACCTCCCCAAGTCAGTCTCTTTCCATAAGAATCCCACGCTCATCTTCCTCATGACCACCCGGGGCTTCCAAGTCCTGGATCATTCACTCTGTGTCCCAGTGACAATGAGAAGAATGTCGGGACACTCTCACCTGTGATCACGATGTCCAGGGGGTCACTGGGAGCTGACAACACATAGGGGGAGTGAGTGACAGAACCGTAGCATCTGTAGGTCCCTGGAAGGTCAGACGTCGTGGAATTCATGGAATAGTTGGCCTGGGAACTCCCACCATGGAGCTCTCCAACAAGGTGCAAGGGCTCCTCAAAGGTCACCTCACGGTGCAGAAAGAAGTGCTCAAACACGGTATCTGAGGAACATTGTAGGATGACTGTCTCTCCTGATTTCACCAGGGTACCTGGGAGGGCCAGGAGGGAAGGTTTTTTGTGGACTCCTAGAAAGAGAGGTTGTGAGTTTAGAAGGCGTCTCCCTTTGTCATCATATCCATGGCACCTGGAATGAGTGAGGGTTCCTCTCCCGGCTGTCTGTCTCTCTCCTCCCTCTCTGTGTCTCCCTGTCTTTTATCCCCTGGTGCAGGTCCCTCCATCTCTCTCCCTCCCTCTTCTCTGTCCATCTGTCTCTAGTAGCCTTGGACGCCCTTCCCACTGGACTCAGCCTCATCTCTTAGGCTGCTGTATCTGTTTCCCACTCATCTCTTTCCTCCTGTCTGTGTGGGGGTGGAAGAGGAACCATGGCAGGCTGCATGTCCAGGCTCTTAGCAGCCTGGTTCAATCTCTTTTGGACAAACTGGAGTCCCTGGCGGGAGGTATGAACTGATTAGTAAGGCAGGCACCAGTGTCCACACTCCCTGTTCCTGGTGGGGATTGGGAGCCTCTCCTGTCACGCCCGTGCCTTCTCCATGGCCTCAGCTTCCATAGGGTGGCTCCTGGTGCTGGTTCCAGGAGCATCGACCCCTCCCTATGTGGATGGAGCCTGGTGGTGACATCAGCGTCCCGCCCTTCCTGATCTCGGGGTTGCCAACCTTCTCCTTGTTTGGTTTCTTTAATTAATTGATTAATTAATTAATTTTTGACACAGAGTTGACTTTTTCACCCAGGCTGGAGTGTAGTGGTGTGGTCTTGGCTCACTGCAACTTCCTCCCGGATTCAAGAGATTGAATCCAGTCGTTGGTTTACTCGCGCCCACCACCATGCCCGGCTATCCTTGTTTGGTTTCTTAACTTGTCCTTGACCATGTTCCTGTGTTGGTTTCCGGTTGCTGTGGCAGAAAATTATCACAAACATGGTGGCAGGAGAGAATACACTGACCCTTTCCACTTTTAGAGTCAGAAATTGGATCCAGTTCTCCCTGTGCTAAGATCAAGGCGTCTACAGAACTGTGTTCCCTCTGGAGACTCCGCAGAGCGGTTCTCTTGACTTCTCCAGCCCGTAGAGGCCACCTGCCATTGTGGCTCGTGGCCTTCCTCCTCCTTTAAAGCCCACAGTGGCTGGTGGACTCTCCCACGACGCTGCTCTAATCCCCACTCTCCTCATCCGCCTCCTCTCGTTTGGTGCCTTGTGATTCCACTGAGCCCAGTGGGACAGTCCAGGCCGTCTCCCCATCTCAAGGTCAACTCATCAACAACCTGAGCTCCATCTTCCCCTTCAGTCCCCTGCCCTATAGCATAAAGAGTCACAGGCTCCAGGGATTAGAATGTAACCATATTGGGGACAGTTATTCTTCCCATCACAGCACCCGTTTCCCTGTATTCAATCCCCCTTTACCCCAAAGACAGTGGGACCCTGGTGGACACCCCCAGCAGAAGCTCTGGGATTCAGGAGGTGGGACAAGGAGAAGCCCAGACAGGAGCCCTCTGACCTGTGACCATGATCGCCAGGGGTTCACTGAGTGCCGACCACTCAGTGGGGGAGTGCGGGTATGAACCCCGACATCTGTAGGTCCCTGCGTGTGCCGGGGTCACAGGGCCCATGAGGAAGCTCTGCTGGAATATTCTGCTGTGGAAGATGGGAACGTGGCTTCTGTCGTCTTTGTACAGAGTGAAGTTGGTAAAGTTGTTAAACCCACGACGATAGTGACACCGAAGAGTCACGTGTCCTCCCTGAGGCACCAGAGCGCTGGGCTGGGCAGACAGGGAGGTCTTGTCCTGATCACCTGGGGGAGAAGGAGGGGCCGCATTAGAGAGGAGGATGTGGAGCCGCCCCTCCCTCCCTGTGCTCAGAAGATTCTTCCCCTTTCCATGTTTCTAAAGGTCCTACCGCACCTGGGTGTCCAGGGCTAGAGGAAGAACCCATCCCACATAGACATGGCATCTCCCTACAACAAAGGTGTCAGCTGAGAGCTTTGAACAAGTGCTGAATAAGGGACTCTTACTAGATTTTAACACTTCAAGATGACTCACATAAAACAACACAAAGTAGACACGTCATGGAGGGCATGTCCTTTGTGAATGGAACATCAGCCAGTGCATGAACTGAGCCCCCATCAGAGGTTTGGAATGTCAGGGTCGTGGCTGTGGTTTCCCCACCTCTTCTGGTAGAATGACAGCAGCCACACTGCAGCCCTGACCTTCATGCAAACACTGGAGGGTGTGAGTTACACCTTTGTCCTCAGAGGACCTGCTGTTCCTAGCACTGCTTCCCTCCCTTCCTCAGCTGCTGACACCACTTCCTCCCTGCACACCTCAGCTTGGAGCACCCCGAGCTCACCCCAGTCTTCACAGAGCTTGACTCAGCCAAGGGTAAGAAAGGCCAGAGAGGACGAGGTCAGAAGTGTGAGCCGAGCACCCCAGGGTCCCCCCTTCTTAGTTTATGAGACACTGTCGGACAGGACTTCCCTCCTGTTTCAGGAAAATCCTCTTAGGTGAGGAGATGACACCCTAAGGTTTGGGGAAGGACTCACCCGTGTATGGACAGGCCCTCTGGACCAAGAAGAACCCTGGAAAGAAAGATCATGGTGGATGATCCATCTGCAGGCAAACCAGGGCCTCCCGTGCTGCCCCCACGGGGCTGTGCGTCTGGGCAGCCAGGCCCTTGCTGGGCTGAAGGTAAACTCACCCTGGCTGCCTACCTACCCCCGCAGCAGGGATCTCAGCTGTGCAGAGACCCAACCTCCTGATCCAGATCTGCACCCCAGGCCTAGATCTACACAACAGGCCTATATGTCCACTCCATGCTGATATCTCTACTCCAGGCCCGTATCTCCACCCCAGGCTCATATCTGCACTCCAGGCCCATATCTCCACCCCAGGCTCATATCTGCACTCCAAACCCATATCTCCTTTCCAGGCTCCTATCTCCACCCCAGGCCCATATCTCCACTCCAGGCTCATATCTCCACTGCAGGATCCTATCTCCACCCCAGGCCCATATCTCCAATCCAGGCCCATATCTCCACTCCAGGCTCATATCACAATTCCAGGCCCATGTCTCCATTCCAGGCCCATATCTCCACTCCAGTCTCATATCTCTACTCCAGGACCATATCTCCACTCCAGGCTCCTATCTCCACTCCAGGCCCGGATCTCCTCTCCAGGCCCATATTTCAGCTCCAAACCCATATCTCCCCTCCAGGCTTATATCTCCCCTCCAGGCCCCTATCTCCACCCCAGGCCCATATCTCCACTCCAAGTCCATATCTCCACTCCAAACCCGTATCTCCCTTCCAAGCTCCTATCTCCAATCCAGACCCATATCTCTACTCCAGGAACATATTTCCACTCCAGGCTCCTATCTCCACTCCAGGCCCAGATCTCCAGCCCAGGCCCAGATCTCCACTGCAGGCCCGTATCTCCACTCTAGACCCGTATCTCCACTGCAGGCCCGTATCTCCACTCCACGC